TATACTCGAGTATATACGGTAGTTTGCACCTAATAGCAATAGTGCTTAGACTTATATACCGCTTCACAGTGCTTTACAGCCTTCTCTAAGTGGTTCACAGAGTCAGCCTATTAACCCCCAACAATCTTGGGTCGTCAGTTTACCCACCTTGGAAGGATGGAAGGCTGAGTCAACCTTGAGCCTGGAGAGATTTGAACTGCCAAATTGCATGCAGCCAGCAGTCAGCAGAAGTAGCCTGCAGTACTGCACTCTAACCACTGCGCCACCAAGGCTCATAATATAAGCCCAACCCCAAAAAATAAGCTACAGTTCAAATCGTCAGCCCGGAAGGTGCTTTTAATTTAGAAAACCTGATTACTAATCTACTCCTCTTGGGGTGGAGCGCGGAGCGCCAGCTGGCCTTCCATAGCCTTCCCTGCCAGGAAGGAAACCCCCAGGGCCCCTTCCATCCTTCCTGCAGCTGCAGCCCCCTTTGGGCCCAGCAAGGCGACCCATCTTCATGTGGGCCCCCTCCAGATAGGTAGCCAAGAATACTGTTGGGCTGGCGGCTAGGCCTGCAGAGTCCTGATGCTGGCGATGGCCGGAGTAGCCCCTTTCCTCCTCTTTCCGCTCCCATTCCATCGCTGGTGGCTGTGGCGGGGACACACTTGTTTGCTTTACTCCTGCAGTGAAACCCATTCAAGGCTCTGTCTGTTGCTATGCCAAAACGCCAACTCAATGAGGCAGGATTAATTTTTCAGCAGGCAGTTTCGGGAGGCGCACAAGAATCCACTCAGGGCGGTGAGTTGAGCCCTGGAGCCTTGAGTGGGTTTCTTGCCTCTTTCCTGCTGCATGCAGTCAAGCCAACAATCATGGACAGGAAAAGGCAGAGGAGGGTTGGAGGACGATGTTGGACAACAAGGGCAGAGGGCGCAGGGGCCGCGGTGTGGCCCTATCCCCACCCTGCTTCCTGCCTTACCCGATCTGTTTAGTGATGGTGCTGCATGGCCTTCCCCTCCAGGAAGGAGACTGTTGATGCCTGAGGGGCCCTTTCTATGCTTTCTGCAGCCACAGCCGCCCTTGGGCCCCACAAGGCCACCCATCTCTATTCGGGCCCCATCCAGATGGGTGGCCAAGGCTACAGTTGGGGGGTCGGTGCCTGCAGAACCCTGATGCTGGTGGCGTCGTGGGCAAGAGCAGCTCCTTCCCACAAGGCACCAACCGAACGCCTCCTACCGCCACTCCCTTTCTACAGTCGGTTGCCGTGGAAATGGCCAGGATATGCTTGTTCGCTTTACTTGTGCAGTGGGAAAGAGGCAAGAAACCGACTCGAGGCTCCAAGGCTCTGCCCATTGCTGCTCCAAAACACCAACCCGACAAGAGGGGATTGATTTTTCTGCAGACATTTTCAGGAGGGTGGGCTGAATCCAATCTGGGCAGCATTGCTGCAGGGCTGCAAATGAGCAGATCACACAAGGCATGCAGTGGGGCGGTGGCGCCCAACGTCGTCCCCTAATACTGCTCGTCCCATATTTATGGCAGAGCTGGAGGACGATGTTGGCCATCGGGTGAGACGGGGAAGGGGTTGCTCAAGCCGACACTGCCAGCATCAGGGCCAGAGGTAGACTGCGGCTGCAGGAAGGATGAAAAGGGCCCGGGGGAAGCCTGTGGTCACCTTCCTGGCCTGGAAGGCCAAGCATGGCCAGCCATGCTCTCCAGGGAAGCTTGCCTGTGTGCTCTGCTTTGTGCTCCACCCCAGAAATGGAACTGAACCTTTGGCTTCTCTCCGGAATGGTGAAGCAACCAGGCAGGTAGAGGGCTGTGATTTTTCACTTGCTTTTCCTGCCTTTCCATTTTCTTTTTCCTGGATGGACCTATTCCCACACTGCACCCACTTTGTCATTCTTTTTCACACTGCAGGCGGTGAACAGGCGGGAGTCGCAGTGTGGTGCCAACCCTGCCCCAACCCCTGCTTCACATCATGGTGGTGACACCAGTCCCCCGGATTGACTGCGCAGCTGCTTGTGTGAAAAAAATAAACCCTTATGGGTATTTTGTAGCAAAAATTAATAAAGACCCGGTCTTTTTTTTCTGGGAAACACACTAGATAGGATATATTATTTTTCTATCTGCATTTTTGCAGGGCCCAAATCTCACTAGAGGGCAGAATTCCTCTGAGCAGCCTTCCCAATTTAAGATTCCAGCATTGAAAGTACCCAGGCAGCCTCCCAAAAACATTTGGAGGTTGCTAGCTTGTAGAAAACTGATCTAAAGTGTCCTGGGCTTTAGTTGTTGGTTTTCAATCACCCTCAAAACCTCTCTACACCTCAAAGTTTTATGACTGATTTCCTTTGACATGGAAGCACCAGCAGGCCAGCAGCTCCAAGGAAACTAGCCTCACTCCTGCCGGACAGAGGCGTAGCTAAGATTTTAAGTCTGCTAAATGCCATGTGTTCCTCTATTTTCCTTGGCACAGAAATCTCCTTTAAGTCAAAGTGAGTGAGACACCAAGATCTAGAAAAAGGAAAGAAGCTGCCTGTATTTGATAAACTAAACTAAGATCCTTTTCAAAGAAATGTTTGAAAGCCTTGTAAAAAGGCTTTAAATCACAGGTATATGCATGTCTATTCACACAGAAATACACAACCAAGAATTTGTTCATGTAAACAATTATGTGCGCTTCAGTGTGCAAAAAGCCCCAGAAGTGCATTCACTAAAAGTTTTTCATCCAATTTTAGAAATCTAAGGATATTAACGGAAAAAAATGGTGCCCAAATCCTATGCAAGATTGAAATCATCCGTTCTGCCAATGAAACTCCTGGCTTGCCAGGAAAACAAGATGTCAATAACAAGGAATGAAGGGTTGCGTGAAGGGCGAGAGAGATAGGCGGTTAAAAAATACGATTTTTTTAAAACTCCCAAAACTCCCAGCAGAAAATCACAGGCAGCTCCTTCAAATCATGGAGCAAAAGGATAACAACATTTGGGGAGAGAAAGGATATGCAGCAGCAGCAGCAGCCAATATCTTTCAGCCTTGTCCCTTCGCTGCGTCTCCTCCGACCTGCACTACACTCACCTCGCAGGAGTCGCTTTGACCCTCCAAACAGCACAAGCGGCTCCGCCAACACCATCACCCTCCCCTGGGTGAGCCGGAAGAGGATGTTCCTGTACACTTCTCCAAAATCCGCTCTAGCAATCCAATACTCTATACTTTCAACCCGTTCCAGCTCAGCCTCTACATCCTCCCTCCCTCCCCCAGACTAGCAATGCCACTACGGTACTATATTCAATGCTTTAGAGGCGCGAGTGTTGCTTCTTTGAAGAGCGCCATCTAGCGACATATGGTTGAAAATCACGGCCGTTCTATTTCGACTCTAAAGCAAAATGTTTTCAGGGACTCCGTGTTTCCTTCCGTGCCATCAAGTCGCATCTGACTCGTATCCAGAACATGAATAGTTTTTGTCCAGGACAATCTGTCCTAAACCTTTTTTTTCAGGTCTCCTTAAATAGTCGCCAGCTTCATCCTATTTTACTAGAATATTGGAGTAAAGTAGAATAAAATATGGATTAAAAATATAAGAATGAAGACGTGGCATAAAAAGGATAGTTAGAAGCTTGCTTAAGGGAAATGACATCAGCCTCTAACCACTAGATGTTCTAGCCAACGTCCCTATGTCAAAGGTCCAAACCACAAGGTTCAGATAAAGTTCGTTAATGACACGTAGTCTATACCTGTAACAAAAGGAGAAGACCCCATCTCCTTATAAGGCTTTTCCCCCAAAATAACCAATAAGAAATGAGTTAAGTATTTCCGTGTTGCAATGCTTTTGAGAATGTATAAGCACGCGTGTTTCGATAATGAAGGTTGTTCAGAATTTGCAATGTTAGCCATTTCGCTAACTTTCTGAACCTGGCTGCCAAATAAACTTTTCCTGTATCCTGAGAAGTTTAAAGCCTGTCCTTTTCTGCAACAGGAGCAACCCCCAAAGTGCCCACTGGCATTGCCTCTGAGCCACATCTAGATAGGAGGTAGATATGATCTTCCTGTCTGTATTATTGGGGAGCCTAAATCAGAGCAGAGCAGCTTCCCCAATTCCCAGCAATATTACCTTTCCGCCTCCTTTCTTCCCAAGCACCTTGAGCAAGACACTTGATCATTGTCACATGATCAAAATTCAGAAACGTGACAATTGACTTATATTTGTGACAGTTGCAGTGTCCTGGGGTCATGAGATCACCTTGAGGGAGCTGAGCTGGTGCAGAACCTGTGGGTCTTACTGGACTCATGGCTCCTGCTTGAAGAGATCTTGACCAGGGGAGGGGCTTAACAGATACATCTGGTCTGTCAATTATGCCCTTTCCTGAACTAGGAAGGACTTCCACAGGGGGTCACTCATGCCTTGGTCACCTCCTGTTTGGACTACTACCTTGGACCATCCAGAAACTTCAACTGGTCCAGAATGCAGCAGCACGCATCGTAATGGGTGTCCCTAGATTACCCGTGTAACATCTTTGTAATGGAGCTGCACTGGATTCGTTTCTTTAAAGTGCCATTCAACATGCTGGTCATAACCTTTTAAGCTATTTCTTTATTGTAGCAATAGCACTTAAAATTTTGCCACCTGCTAAATATGGAACTTATTGGTTTCTATAGTAAAGTTTTATTTCTGTAAACCATATGAGTTGGGTTGCCATATACATTTTCTTACTGAATAAAAATACATAACAACATACAAATTTATACCCCCATTTATTATATGTAGAAATAACTCAAGGTGGCAAACATACCTAATATAGATCACCCTACCCCACCCCACATGTTTGATAATAAGAGATGTTTCATTATAAGACTCATGAAAGAAATTAAATGGTAAACTGCTCAACTGGCATTCAAATGAAACAAGAAACAAATTTCAACAGTCCTCTACAGAAATTTTGCCTCAAGTGCAATTTCTTATATCTGATTAGGGAGAGATTTTGTCCAAAACAATAATTGTCTGCAATCTGGGTCCTTGACTGATTACTCCCCAATGTGTAACCTTACATGATTTATAAGGCTAGACCTGGTACTGAAATCTTTCCCACAATCCGGACATTCATACGGTTTCTCTCCTGTGTGAGTCCTCTGGTGTATCACCAAACTGGAATTCCGACTGAAACTTTTTCCACATTCAAGACATTCATATGGTTTTTCTCCTGTGTGAGTCCTCCAATGTTTCATCAGGTTGGAATTATCCTGGAAAGTTTTCCCACAATCCGAACACTCATATGGTTTTTCTCCTGTGTGAGTCCTCTGATGTCTCACCAGATGGGAATTCTGACTGAAACTTTTCCTACAATCTGAACACTCATATGGTTTCTCACCTGTATGACTCCTCTGATGTGTCACCAGGCAGGAATTCCGACTAAAAGTTTTTCCACATTCAAGACACTTATATGGTTTTTCTCCTGTGTGAGTCCTCTGATGTTTCATAAGGTTGGAATTCAGACTGAACCTTTTCTCACAATCATGACACTTGTATGGTTTCTCTCTTGTGTGAGTCTTCTGGTGTACCACCAGGCTAGAAATATGAGAGAAACTGTTCCCACAATCAGAACACTTATATGGTTTCTTTTCTGTGTGAGTCCTCTGATGATCTACCAGGTGGGAATTTTCCTGGAAACTTTTCCCACAATCTGGACATTCATACGGTTTCTCCCGTTTGTGAATCCTCTGGTGTATCAGCAGGCTAGACCTTCGAGAGAAACATTTTCCACAATCACAACATTTATATGGTTTCTCTCCCGTGTGAGTCCTCTGGTGTATCACCAGGTGGGAACTCTGACTGAAACTTTTCCCACAATACAGACACTCATATGGTTTCTCTCCCGTGTGAGTCCTCTGGTGTTTCACCAGGTTGTCATTCTGACTGAAACTTTTTCCACAATCTGGACACTCATATGGTTTTTCTCCTGTGTGAGTCCTTTTGTGGATCACCAGCTCAGAATTCCAAGTGAAACTTTTCCCACAATCCGAACATCCAAATTGTTTTTCCCCAGTGTGAGTCTTCTTGTGTCTCACCAAATTTTGTTTCATCGTTTGGCTGTCCAAGGAACTTTTTCCTTCCACTGACTTCCAATTATTTGCACTTTCTTTATTCCGATATTATCCCCGTTAACTTCTTAGGTAATGATGTTTGCTTCAGTTCCACATACTCTTATTTTTTTCCAGCTGAAAACTTTGTTCTTGTTATTCTCTCGCTTGTCTCTCACCTGCTGAAGAAGGAGAAGAGTTTTTACATTAAGTCAAAGTGAGTGAGACACATACATAGCAGGACCTAGAAAAAGGAGCACAAAAAGAAGCTGCCTGCATTTGTTAAACAAAACTAAGACCCTTTTCAAAGAAATGTTTGAAAGCCTTGTAAAAAGAATGGTAAGTAAATCACACACACACACACACATATGTGTGTGTGTGTTGTATTTGTGCTGATAAATAAATAAAGGGAGACTAGTATAGATCTATTTCAAGCTATTTAGCTCTCATCATCTAATCCCAGTAAGGGTATGGCTAGCTGCAGAGAGCCACATAGCTTGAAATAGATCTATACTAGTCTCCCTTTATTTATTTATCAGCACAAATGCAACACACACACACATATATGTGTGTGTGTGT